TTTCTAGAAATTCCAGGAAGGACGAAAGTAATCAAAATCTATAACGATGGAAAGTAGATCAGCTGTTTCCTGTGGGGGAGGGGGGTTGAGAGAGAACTTTTTGGAATAACTGATGCTTTTTCTACCTTAATTGTGGTGGTGGTTACCGGGGTGTATACATTTGTCAAAACTCATTGAACTGTGCACTTAAAATGGGTACATGTGGTTTCAGGTAAACTATTCCACAATAGAGTTGACCTCTTAAAAGTCCACTGTACACAGGTGACTCCAGCCCCTTCCTCTCCCTTCCTCTTCAGACTCAAGTGTCCACATGCTCACCCGCCATTTCCACTGGGCACACAAATACAATGGAAACCACTCAGCCTTTAAAAAGAAGGAAATTCTGACATGTGACCACACGGATCGGCCTTGAGGACTTTGCTGAGTGAAACAAGCCAGTCACAGAAAGACAAATACTGCATGATCTGGTTATGTGCGCTGCCTAAAACAGTCCAATTCAGAGAATCAGAGAGGGAATGGTGGTTGCTGGGAGCTGGGGGAGGAGAAATGAGTTTCCAATCAACGGGCATAAACAGTTCAGTCCCGCAAGATGAATCAGTCCTAGGGACCCACCTGCAACATTGTATCCATAATTAGCAACATTGTACCCATCATCAGCAACATTGTGCCCATCATTAGCAACATTGTATCCATCATTAGCAACATTGTATCCACAATCAGTGCCCTGTACTGAGCAGACAAAGGATTTGCTTCAGGTGAGTGACCTGAAGGACAGAGCACAGCTGAGTGTCCAGAAAACGAGTGGCCAGGAACCTGCTGTCCCCTCCGAAGAACTGATGACCATTTTCGCGTTGATGGTCCTCGAGCCCCATGAGGCAGGGTGTTTACAAGAGGTCCCATCTGCCAGGGCCAGAGAAAGACCATCTAGACCAGAGGGTGCGGTGTCCAAAACGACCACAGTGTGTCCCCACAGCGCCGTCAGGGCCTGGCTCCCAGAGCCACGCAGAGCAGCGTCTGCTCTGGGTGCAGGATGACAAGGGCCTCCTCACCGCAGCTCCACGGCCACCAGCCCGGAGCAAGCCCTCAGGCCTACTTCCTTTTTTCCTTTTAATGGAATGAACTGTTTTTTAAATATATTTTTAAATTTATTTCAGAGAGGAAGGGAGAGGGAGAGAGAGAGAGAAACATCAATGATGAGAGAGAATCATGGGTCGGCTGCCTCCTGCACGCCCTCTCCGGGGGATCGAGCCACAACCCGGGCCTGTGCCCTGACCAGGAATCGAACCGTGACCTCCTGGTTCATAGGTCCGTGCTCAACCACTGAGCCACACTGGCCGGGCCAGGTATGAAGTTTTAGACGTGTTTTCTGGCCCAGCATCTCCCACGGCAGGCATGTCGGAGACGCACTGGGAGCCTGGAAGTCACAGCCGCACCCTCTGTGTCTGTGGCTCCGGGGGATGGAGTTTTCCATCTAAGAGGGAGCAGCCAGGCCCTGGCCGGTTTGGCTCAGTGGATAGAGCTTCAGACTGCAGACCAAAGGGTCCCGGGTTTGATTCCAGTCAAGGACATGTACCTCCGTTGCAGGATCCTTCCTGGCCCGGGCCCTAGTGGGGGCACATGTAGGAGGCAACCAATCGCTGTGTTTCTCTCACATCGATGTTTCTATTTGTCTCTCCCACTCTCTCTAAAAATCAATGGAAAAATATCCTCGGGTGAAGATTAACAAAATAAAAAATAATACTAATGAGAGGGAGCAGCCGGCACTGTCCCCTCTGCAGCCCCTGGCCCGGCACAGCTGTGGGCTGCGGTCCCGTCCAGCAGCACCGGGAAGACCGGCTCCAACACGGGGCTCCCATCAGCCACCAGCACTGGGCCAACCGCGAGGTTCACCTGTCCGAGAGCCGGCAGCCGTCCGGCCCAATAACACGCCTGCAAACTCGGTCAGGAACGGGCGGGGCCGCCCCACCTCTGCCCTGGCCTCGCGAGAATGGCCTCGATCCATGAGACTCCTCTGCAGACGCCGTCCCATCCTCTCCCCCAGGGACACCCCGCTCCCCACTCTGGGCACAGTGATCACTCACCTCCACGTCCCTCTGCCCACAGGGCGCCCTGGGAGTGAGGTCTGTGTCATCCGGGCACACACAGTGTCAGCCGGGCACACACAGTATCAGCCGGGCACGCGCAGTGTCAGCCGGGCACACATAGTGTCAGCCGGGCACACGCAGTGTCAGCCGGGCACACACAGTATCAGCCGGGCACGCGCAGTGTCAGCCGGGCACACATAGTGTCAGCCGGGCACACGCAGTGTCAGCCGGGCACACACAGTATCAGCCGGGCACGCGCAGTGTCAGCCGGGCACACATAGTGTCAGCCGGGCACACGCAGTGTCAGCCGGGCACACACAGTATCAGCCGGGCACGCGCAGTGTCAGCCGGGCACACATAGTGTCAGCCGGGCACACGCAGTGTCAGCCGGGCACACACAGTATCAGCCGGGCACG